GTGTCTTCGGAGCATGAACTTTAATGTGTGGCCGTCTGATATCATTGTGCGGCTCTTTCGATTTTTTCAACCAGAAGCTAACCAAGGAAGTTCCAAATAGTGTTATACAATCCCAACATTTTCCAGACTTATAGGAAAGACCGTGATGCTGAGAACACTGGCAACTTCAAAAGGGGTGGTGTACTAATTGCTTTAAGGCGTAGCTTAAGGTCGTCATTTTTTGAATTGCTCAACCACGAAACTTTAATTGACCAATTATGTGTGGCTCGTTCGGCTCTTTATTTATCTGTGTATCATATGTCCCACCTAACAGTTCAGATGAGTTATATAACTATCACATAGAGAATATCACACACATCTATGAAAGTAATGGAAATTGTAATCTTTGTATTCTTGGCGACTTCAATCTCCCTGGCATTAACTGGACATGCTTTCAAAACTCGGGGCGCCTTACCCCAACCAACGTTACTCGTTCACATGAAATAAACTTTATTAATAGTCTTTTTAGCCCTAATCTTATGCAAATTAATTGCATATTCAATAAGTTATCTAAATTATTAGATCTAGTGTTTGTAGACGAAAATTTTATATCTAATCTCTCTGAATGTAAGACTCCGATCTGTTATTCTCAAATGTGTCATAATCTCCTTATTGTTTCTTTAGAGTTTTTTGATAAGCTTCCCTTAAGGCAAAATAATAGGATTTCCTACAATTTTCGTGATGTAAATTACGACGTCAATATCTTCAATTCAAAATATGTTAATGCCTCTTACAGGCTAACCTAATATTCGCGGCTTGCGTTTTGGTACGCATGCCGTCGAATTTGTTTTTTTGCGGCACCCGAAATTGACTTGCATGCGTTTGCATTTGATTTCATTGAGCGAAACGTCAAATCAAAATGTCACGCAGAACAAAAATTGGAATTTGAGTTAGCTTCATACGCACGCCGTTCAATTTCGGTTGATCTCATACAAGTTGCATGTGCATGAGAAATTTTTGACAATAAATTGGCGGCGTGCGTGAATATTAGGTTAGCCTGTTATGAAACATCTTTGCATTATGTCTGAAGTCTTCTCTGAGCAACTGGATGCTTTACCCTCCAAGCCTCATAAATTACCCTGGTACTCTGTCACTCTAAAAAATTTGAAAAATAAGAGAAATAAATGCTACAAGCGCCATATGGATTGAGGCGAGTTCAAAAGGTGTTTATTCGATTTGCCCTCGCCTCTCTTAACTTCTCAGATTCCCTCATATTACTCCCGGTGTAAACTAATAAATTTGCTATCATTGGAAAATAGAAGGCATACCCAATTACTCTTATTCGTCTTCGATCTTATCTCTGGCTCCATTGGGGCGTATGAATAAAAACTGAGCAATTGCTTTTTCTTAAAATTTCATACCTGTTACTTCAATTTTGTTTGAATAAATCGAGTAAAAGGTCTGAAATATTAAGAAAAAGCAATTGCTTATTTTTATTCATACGGCCCATTGACTGCCCATCTCTTCTTAAACAGGTTACCTTTAAGGTGCCTCTCAGAACTCTTCGCTCTCACATCCCCTTTTACCTTCCTGCCGTTAAGACTAACTACTCATCTTTTGCGCCTATTTTTCGAGGCCTTGTGGAATTTAACAATATATCAAAGAGCTTAGATATCGACTTTTCGTTTCCAAGAAGTCTTTTTAAATCATCTCTTGAAACCTATTTTCGTAATTGCACATATACTAGTCACCGTTAATACTTTTAGCCTACTTCAAGTCTGTAAGATTGTAAATCATAGACTGAATAAAGACGAATATGAAATATAGGAAGAGTGGATTAAATAAGAAGTTTTAATCATTTACATGTAAGCTTCATTGATCAACTGTTACGCCAAGCTGCGATAAAGCCGGCAAGACCGGATTTGTTGTGTCTCCTGAATTCAAAATGCTCTAGAAGAATTTGGAAACATTAACAGGTATTTTATATATAAGTAACAAAAGAGTGGTGTACCATAAAATATAAGCTGGGTATTCAAACACTGATTTGATGGCTTTTCGGCAAGTGAACGGAACCTGCACTTCTACCTCTAGTTTTCTGCTACGTGGATAGTTTAAAAAGTGTAATTGATTTTCCCGGTATTCTTATATAAGATAATATTTCATTCAAATCTGTAAAACAATAAACTTAATATTTAGTGACAAACCTGTTACACGAGCATTAGCCGTAGTGGAAGGACTGGAGCTGCTGGCGGCACTGCTCCCAGTGGTTTTTGCGCACTTTAAAAGCATTTTTACCCCTTTAAAGTCAAACAATATTTTAATAAAACCCTTTTAAATGTATCTTAAAGTTTAATCCGGTAAACTTAACTGCAGTTGCTAAATTTTTTGTACATAAATTTCAGTGGTCAAATTGTCGCTAACTGGTTCCAGAATCTCCCCCCAGCGATACTACGACACCTAGTATTGTGAAACACAGTACTTAGTATAATTCTTAAATTCAATCAAATTGATAGCATAAAACTTGTATTTTTCCTTACAAATCACCAAGAACTAGTAGAACTTTTTAGTTTACACAATTATTTTTTGTTCCTGCATTCGTCACTATTTTTAGCAATTTTTCTGTATTACACGTTTTGCTCATTACCGTTTTCATTTCCTTTTTTGCTGTTTATTAGTGAATTTGTATTTTTTCTTAACACGCACACATGTTCGTGGAACTAGTTTAAATGGAACGCCATTACAATGTCCATGTTTTACCTTAAATTCTGACAATTTATATTGGTTTTTTCAGTAAATATTTTATTAAAAGATTTAATTTGCATTTTTTAATAAAGTTTGATGATTGAAAATGTCCAATTTCTATGCCGAAAACTGATTTTCGTTTCACATCAATTTTAGAGGTGGAGAAAACATCGTTGCACTATCGATATATCGATTTTTTTGCTAAACATCGATGGTTGATGGCGACTATCGATGTTTCTTATTTACACCTCTGCGCATATAAAATGAAATATTGGCTGCGTTTCTTTATACATTCCGGATAATCCCATTTCACAACCGGAATAAAGAGAATGCGTTTGAAATATACGTTAACATATCATCAGGAACGTTCTAAAGAATAAGTAAACAAAAAAGTTTATTCCAAACGTTCAGAATGAATAAAGAAATGCAGCCATTCTGCCTTATCCTGTACAAGGCGAATAATAATAAGGTGGTAGCTGGAGAGCAAAAACAAAAATTTACATGTATTTTGTTTTTGCTTTGGCGGCATAAACTGTCAAAATCTGTAAGTTTGTGTGTGGAAATTCAAACAAAATTTTTCAATTTGACATAGAAGCCGTAACACATACACAAAATCAGCTGATCATAGTAAAACTATGGAAACCAAGAGTGAAAAGTGAACCGGTTCGGGGAAAATGAAACTCATGATAAGGCTGATTAGTTTGTAGCTTATAACCTTTCAAAACAAAAATCAAAATATTTTTTAACACTTTCAAAAAACAATCGTTTATCTCTTTAAAACTTTAATAATAATAATATTAGATTAGCGCTTACACATATGTTAGTGTTTGGCCGAGCTTCTCACCGATTTGTGGACCTAGAGTTTTACACCGACTCCACACGGCGATTGTATTTTGATGAGAAGAAGAAAAAGTTCTTGACAGAAATGCACTCGGAGGTTTGTCATTGCCTGCCGAGGGGCGAAAACTGTTAAGAAAAAACCTTTTCTATATTTTTTTGTGATGTTGCTATGACCAGGGCTTGAACCTAGGCACTGCAGAGCCACTACACCTTAGCGGCCGCCGTTCTCTCTTTAATACTTTTATGTTAATCTCAGTGAATAAAAATGTTACGTTTTTACTAGCTTTTATTTAACTTCCCTTACATACATATATCTCCTTGAATTTTATTGTCAATTCTAACCCAACTTCCCGATGAGCTAGAGACTTGGGACTTTAAACTTAGGTCAAACCCCGATGGCAGTGTAATATGAAGGACGAATTAATCCACTAGGTGGCACAGGTTTAGAGATGTTTGAAATACCCGTATTTATGGTCCGATATGGTTAATATTTGGAACGCATATATATTACTTTCATGGAAGGAAATAGGTACTTTTGTTTTATTTTATTTGTAATAACTTATTAGGGCGTATTCATAGTCAAATTTAAATTCATACTTAAAGCTACTTGCGGCTTTTTGACGTAGTTTTTAATGGGTTATCTGTCGAAATCGCTACATTTAACTTCAAGTAACAACTTAATTTTGCCTTTAAACGACCTATTTTTTCACAACAATCGATGTTAAATCGATGTTTTCTATTAATACATCGAAAACATCGATGGTAGCAAATATCTCCACCCCTAATCCTATGCACTCAACTGGTTTCTTTATTTCTGCTTTCGTCTGACATTTTTAACTCGCAGGGTTGCCCGGCTTGTAGGAAAAAACCTATTATTGAGATTTTGAGACGGAAATATGGTGCTTTCCCGGCGTTTACATGAGACAATTTTATCAAGCCAAAAGCCACAAACACGAAGACAATTGTCTTCTTCACTTTCTTTGATTTTTCGAAGACAGTGAATTGGACAGTAAATTGGACAATTCGGTCACGTCTTGGTTAATTTGAGAGGAAGAGGCAAGACAAAACCGCAAAAAATCGCAGAATTACGAAAAAGTGGTTTGTGTTTGGATATTTTAGTAAATAATAACGACACTAAAGGCGGCTGCTGAAAAATGTATTGGCCCGTAGTCATAGTCAAAATAAAGTCGACTTTAAAGTTAGTTGCAGCTTTTTGACATAATTTTCAATGGGATATCTGTCAAAAAAGCTGCAACTAACTTTAAAGTCGACTTTATTTTGACTATGACTACGGGCCATTGTTTTTATAATGGTCTGGACGCCTACTTTACACAACAACTTGACAACTACTACACATTCTCAATTGTCTTGTCTCAAGTTGTCTTATGTAAACGCAGTGTTACTAACACTAAAGAGGACAACTTAGCCTTTTTTTTTTGCTGTCACACAACACTGCCGACAAACGACACAAACAAAAAGTTTTCCAGCTTCAATTGTTTACTTTCCGATTGGATTATTTTTGTTTTAGCAACTAATGATTACCACTGTGGCTTTGCCTGTGCGATTAGATAAGAAATAAGGTGATAAGTATTGCTTTTAAGTGGGTAATTGACAATCTATAGTGGTAGCACTTGTTGTTTATGCAAATGCAAAGATTTAACATTTGTTTTCATTAGGAGCTGTCTGTGATTCAGTAGCTGCATTGACACGTACGACGGAAAGTGCTGCATCGGCTAGATTAGCGACATTAGAATACTAGAATTATAAAAAATATGTGTGTGATATTTATCTATGTGAACTCAAATCCAAACCCTGGTGGATACAAACTTATATTAGCCTCTAATCGAGATGAATTCTATGCGCGCGATACACAGGATGCAGCAAAGTGGGCTAATGCAGAGCATGTTTATGGAGGTTTGTAGCCATGGTGTATTAAATACATTTTGTTTGTAGCTACGCATCAATGAAAGGAAATTTTGTACGAAATGCTTTACTTAAATATGCTGTTTTCAGGCATTGACTTAGAGCCTGGGCGTGAAGGTGGCACTTGGCTGGCAATTGGTGGCCATGGCGGCGTATTCAAAGTAGGAGCGCTACTTAATTTGACAGGAGAGCCTAAACCGAGGAATGCTGTGGGTGAGAAGTGATAATTATTTTATGTATGTATATGACAGTAACGTGTTGTTGACCTTTGTACTTTGCTCACTACGGATCATTGACATCTTATTGGTTACAAACATATTTATTTGCTTACATATTTTGCATACATACATTTCTGTTAAACTTATCGTCCAAATGAACATGCATGATTCCTTTCTTCGTTTACCTTTTTGAATACTGAATACCAACTATATTAAAATAATAGTTAATGGCGAATGTGTAGCTAAAAACCATAATATAATATACCCCAATCATAACGACTATAAGGCTGACACAACAAGAATCATCAAGCCTGCAGACACATCTTCTTTACTACACAATGAACATTTTTTGCTAGGCCGAGGTATGATTGTTTCGAATTTTGCTGCCTCTAAGGATGATTGCAACATACAAGGTTACAATAGCGAACTGTTGAGCGAGTGTACAAAGTACAGCGCTTTTAATTTTGTTTCAATCGAAATCGGGTTAGTAAAGCAAGTTTCTGTTAAGAAAATTTTCAAAATAACGTTCATATTTTTCCCCTTTATCAGCTCAAAAGCACCAGCGAATATCCTGTTGCTGAGCAATACACCACCTGGTTTGGAACATTTCGCTGAGGCTAAATGCTATGGGTTCGGCAACAGTCTAGCTTCGGCACCGTTTCAAAAGGTTATCAATGGTCGTCAACGCTTTCAGAACATTGTAGAGGATTTTCACAGTAAGCTGGCAACAGCACCAACTGAGGCTATGCATAACATGCAAGCAGATCTTGTCACAAATTTAAAGAATTTACTAAAATGTGAACACAAGTTTTGGCCAGATGCAGAGCTGGCACGACGCGCACCCAATTGGGGTGAATATTTGAGTGCATTGAACGTAAGCGTGCCATCCGCTGGGTACGGCAGTCGTACACACACAGTTATACTTATTGATGGACAAAATAAAATGCATTTTTACGAAGACACAATGGCTGGACCCGATCCCAAGGGCGAGTGGCGGCAAACACATATTGAAAAACAATACTTTCAAAACGAAAACTCAACAACACAACTATTTGAGTGCTCAAAAATTTGAATGTACCCAAATCGTATGAAAAATTTTGTTGATTGGGTGCTAATACCCAAAAGCCTCAGAATATAAGCTTTTAAACTCAGGTGAACTGACTAAAGTATTTTTAACTTACATAAATTGTATAAGCTAACTAAAAAATAAAATCATTAAACATAGAGGCTATCTGCTTTTAAAGTTTAAATAGTAATTTTTAGCTTTATTTTATGCAATCTTTTGATTTATAACTCTCACTAGAAACAGTAGTAACTGTAGCTTACTTCATATATAATCTTTATGTACACATACATACATAGCCTTAGTTTATTGCATTCGTTTTATTAGCTTATTGTTTTTTAGGCTTAGCGACTCTTTGTTTAACGCCTCTCAGCGCACCTTTCCGTGCTCCGTTTACGATATTCTTAAATGTGCCCGCATGTTTTGCTCGTTTTCTGTCAAAAATGTATATATTTTTGTTAAATCAGGAACGTTTAGTATAATTACCGTTGAATAACTTACCTTTTGTTTAGCGTATTTCGACTTAGTGGTATGTACGCGAAGGGATCGAGCTTGCCCTTCTTCTTCATATCGCCTTTAGCTTTCTTAGTTGTATACTCGCTGCCGGCGTAGGCTGAAACCGCTGTAGATTTGCCAGATTTGGCCGACTTTGCAGAGTAGCCGGATTTCATTGATATCGCGTCACTACCGGCGGCGCCTAAGGGCCGATGAATACCTTTGCCACCGGCTACATATTTCGAAGCTGAAGTCTTACCCGAACGCATGCTAATCGCATCGGTAGCTTTACGTTTGCGGCTTGTAGCTGGCAGTTCCTCCTCTTTTGTTTCCGTATTACAGAGTACGATAATAAGAGTAAATCACTTTTTATGACTACTTAATATAATCATGGTAGACATACCATCACTAGAGTCCACTTCCATGCCGCGTTTAGGCGCTCGTTTAGCTTCAATTGCCTCGTCATCATCATCGCCACTTTCGCCGCTGCTGCTGCTGTTGTCATCACCACCAGCACCGCGCAATGCTTTATCACTTATAATCAGTCTTCCATCCTCGGCGGTTTTAAAACCACGATTCGGATCCCTATTCTTGGATTTGGTGCTACCAGCAGCACTTGCGGCTTCATCTGGTCGGTTTGCTATGGAAAAAATATATATATATATACAAATATATTTTTAATAACTTTTACTCGTACGAACTTAGCACATTTCCTATCGACTTAATGTCAGCCAAATCGACAATATCCTCTGGATCTTCACGTATATAAGTGCTGTTGCGTTTCGGTTTCCTTTTCTCAGCCTTATTATGATCGCCATTATCCGCATTCATATCTTCTGGCAAATCTGAATCGGAATCTGCCAATATGTCATCAATGCTGCAAGCATGCATTTACAATAAATACGGTCTTTTAAAGGGATATTTTAACCTACGTTGTGCTCTTCTTTTCCAGCCCAGCGACGAATTCATTCTCCGAATCGTCGTCATCGGTCTTATCTTTTTCGTTCAGTTGCTTTCTATTTTCACGACGCATTTGCTTTCGTATTTTCTTCAGGCGCCGATGCGTTACTTCATCATCACCAGGCACAAATTTAATTAGCTCTTCAGCTGTGAACCGCTTGCAAAGCTTCTTTAACAAATACCCAATTTGTATACGGCAATAACGTTTGGTATCTTTGGACATTGCAGATAGAGATTTCATCTAAAGAATTTAAATTTTTGAATATGAATTCTATATAACTAAAGCAAATAAGTTAATGAAATACTTACTATGGTATCCAAATGATTAGCCACATACGGCGAAGGCATCACTTTTATAAATGTAATTAGAAACGCTACAGCAGCTTCGGCTTCGGAACGCGCTTTTTGCACAAGAAAAACGAGAATTTGTTCCATTATGAATTCGAGCGTGGTAATAGTTAAATTTTTCCCCTGATTTTGTACCACGGCGCGGAAGGCCAAAATCGTATTTGTAATAAGCGAGTCGTCGCCTGCAAAGCCTGCTGTTAGTATATCAACAAAGTCGTTCAGTTTACCAGCTTCCTATTTATAGATAACGAGTATTTAATTTCCAAAAAAATACGTATTCTTAGGGATGGGTACCTGGTATAGATTAGCCAAAAATATGATGAGCTCCTCTGAAACATTTTCCTTGCGCGTCGAAAATTCCTTGTAAGAGATCACAGCTTCTGGTATAGTTTTCATAACAATTTTGTCATTCACAGTAAGAGATTTGCGATTTTCAATAAGAATTTTTAAACATCTAAAGTGGTAAACGTGAGACGGTATGAGTAAAAATTTTAAAGTGGTGAACTCTGAATTTTACCTTAAGCGCGCAGCCTGACAAACGGCGCAACTCGTAACAAATGCATCCAAAAGTAGCTTTTGCAAGGCGATACTATTCTTACGGCCGAATTTCTGACAAGAAGCTGCCTCGGAAGTTAATATATCACGAAGAAGTCTAAAAATTAAGATATAAGGAGGATATGCAAAATTTTCGATTCACTTGCTACACATACTCATATGTACGACGTTGTTGCTTTTTCAGTTTTTGATCATCCTTAGATACCAACTTAGATTTTTCATTCTTCAAAACGGGCACAATGAAGGTCTCGAAGAAAACGCGTATAACTTCGCTGGTTTGAAATAACAGGAGCGCAGCATTGATATCAAAAATTGCATCATACTCGAATGTTCCAACCGCTGTATTCGACAGTTGAGTTTTTGCAGTTTCGAAGAGTTCCTTCAGTACATCTTCTGATGTTCTTGTTAGGTACAACTAAAACATATAAACCAACAATTTGATAAAGCTATTGGTCATTGCTGTTAATGTAGGCACGTACCTTTATTACTTCTAATGCCTTCTTGCGCAGATCCGCTTCGTATGTGCCATTTGGTTTTTGGGCGTAAATATTGAATAAACGCGGCAAGAAGTTTTTAGAATACTTCGCCAAAGCTTCTTTAATTTCGACGTTCTCCTCATTTCCAATCAACTCAGTGAGACCATCGAAAATAGGTGCACGAAATTCTGGATTATTATCCAAAGCGTTGCCAAGAGTGGGCGCAATTAAGCGCAGATTTTCAGCATCTGCTGGGTCACGACAAAATCCTGGGAATAAACCCCAAAGTTGGCAGCACAACAGCTCATAAGTATGTGACATTGATTGTTGTTTCTCTTGGGCATATTTATGCCATTTATTATTGCAATCCAAAGCCAAAGGCAAAATATACTCCTTGAAGAATTTGAATGAAGCACCTTTGGTACCCTCACGGAGCAGCGGTAACAGCCATGAACGTTCGAGCAAAACTTCGCCCTTGCTATTTGTTAATGGTATAGTTTTCAAAATAATCTCTGGACCCATTGACTGTATTGCCGCAATTATAGAGTGCTCAATTTGCACACGCAGCGTGCTTTGTGTGTCGTAGCGCTTTGAAAGCGTCTGAAGTGATGGTGTCAGTTCTTTGCTACAAAAAAGGAGGCAAGATTAATCAAAACTTTAGTATATATGTACATATTAACGAATTATTTTGCATCAGCGAAGACAACTTACCTAAAATACTTGCCACATACTTCAAAGACAATTGAAAATATAAGTATGACATGTTTGGCTATTTCCCCGAAGGGTGCGTTAAGTACCTTTTCCAATGTGGCGATTATTCGCATTATTGGAATGCGGTACACTTCAGCTTTTTCAGTTGTGTCACAAGCCGACTTAATACATTCGTTTAAAAGCTCCTTAATACAATTCGATACACTATTAATTATTTCTGTGCGCTCGGACATCCACAAGTCAGTGGCACAAATATCGAAAAATCTTGGCAACGCATTCATACATAAGTTCAAATCCAATAATGCCAGATGAATATGTCCTTCTTTTAGCACCGTAATCCAAACTACCGTTTGACGCACATCAGCACGATCTGGACGATATTCATGTATGGCAGCTAGCAATTTCGCACACAAAGAACCATTCAAATTGGTTGTTCGTGACGCGAAAAGTGAATGCAGAGCTTGGAAGCAGTTGGTGCGAATGAGCACATTAGCAGCAGTCATGATGGAAAGTAAACTTTCGCAAACTGAACGGATGTCTTCTATTTTAAAGCCACTCACAATGTCTTTGAGAAGTGTGAGCGTATGTAGCACTGTTGTCTGCGAATTGGTTAGAACCTCAGGCTTAAATTGGCTTAAACAGAATTTTGTTACACGACTGCTGGCCGGATGGTGCTTAGCTTTCCGCTCTGCTACATAATCAGCATCCTCGGCCTCTTCTTCATGGGTAGGTCGCATGAAGGAGCTGCCATGAATGATTGATACAATAGCGTGTTGCGCAGCTTTCCGAATCTATAAAAAAAAAAAAAAAAAAACATTTAATGAGCTTAAAATTGTGCTGAAAGTATTAAAAAAGTGAATACTTTAGGCTTTGAATGTATGGTGAATGAAAGTATGGCATCAATGTATTGCCAAGTGGAGGAGTAAGTCCATGTGATATATTCTTGGGCACAAAGCAGTACGGACAAGCAACCAATTATCTGAAAAAGTAAATTAGCAGATTTATCCAAAAGTTGTGTACTTACTTACATATTTTACAATGGTCTGATTCGCTGGCTCCATAAAGCGTTGTAAGCATGATAAAAAGGTCTGAGCCGTCTCTCCAAATCGTTTGCGCAACACCGCTTCTGGCACCGATTTGATACCCATTGATAACAGCGAAATGCCCGCAATTATATCATTGTCTTCAGTGCTAGCTTCAATCTGTTCCATAAGCAATATGAAATACTCCGTCGATGACTCTGTACCCCCACGCTCGCGTATGATTTCGGTAAGTGCGGTTAAGATTGCAAGCATTTCCTTATGCAAGTCGGACGATGCACGAAATCCCACCAGGAGCCTTTTAAAACTCATATTGCTACAAGCACTGTAGTTGGAAGCAAATGTTTTGAAAGTTTTAAAAGTGCCCTGTTGCGATTCCGACATGCTCTCATCTTCCAAGCCGCCATCGTCGTGGAGACTGAAAGATTTTAAACTGCCAGCAACATCGTTGACTGTCGTTGTCTCAGCATTATAAGCCAGGCGTTGATCATGTTTCAATACCGCATCGAAAGTAAGCGTGTTGGAATTTGGAGCATGTTCAGGTGGTGCTGCGAAGTAAAATAAAAATAAAAATAACGTTAATAACTAGGATCAAATTTACTTTACCTAAACTTAAGTTTGGCTGAAAGAAACGCGACTTGGCTTTTAATCGATGCCTCATTTGCTCAGGATTAGAAGTAGATGACTGCCCTTTGCTCCATGTTTTGCCTTTAGTGTGGCGCTTCAGTTTGGAACGAAATTTTCCCATTCTGCGGTAGTTATTTTGCCCAAAAATTTATTTAAAATTCCTCAAGAACACTGCGAAAACAAAAACACGTGTCGCTGATGCACTTTGCCAAAGTAAAAGAATCTAAACAGCAAAGAATGTCAGCTAAAAACAGAATGCAAAGAAAGGGGTTACTGTGAGGCCATATATGTAATACTACTATATTGGCAGTAAGAGCTAGCATGAACCAACTAACAAGATCACGCAATCGGAAAAGAATGAAAAAAGTAAATTTCTGAGCGTTTTTGACATCTGCCTAAATATGAAAACAAACAAAGAAAACGAAAAAGGCGCGGTTATTGAGTGCGATTAGATTTGTATTTATTATAAAATATAAAAAGTGAAACTTGATGACAATTAGCAAAAAAAGTTCATAAAATATGGTTTTAATGATTACAATCGCATATTATCGGCACCGGCCGATTTTTCAATGCCAACGTTCTGACCACAAATGTGCACCCACTCTCCTCTTGGCAAATCAAACAGACGCACAAACTTGTTCCAATCACAAAGCACTTCATATTATATCATAAATTTGTAATAAATCAAAATTTCTAATTAAAACCGCTGCAGAAAACACATAAAATCGCTAAAATATCACTACGAAGAGGTAGAAGACGATGTAAACAGAACCAAAAAACATCAAAAACGCTACGAAAACTTTTTTCTGAAAATCGATTACAAATACAACGATGGCGGATTACGTGATCTGTAGTCGTTGGTTTATGAGAGCTAGTACCGTACGAAAACACTACAGTACAGATATATCAATAAACACGTACGAAAGAAAACCCTGTGGGAAAATCTCTAGTTCTGAACTGGTGCGCTTCTAGTACATTTAGACCCAGTACTGGTTCGCGATAAATCTCTTTTGCATGCAAGCAACTGGCGAATTTAACATGGCGATGTCCTAGGAAGTGTCAATTGCCCCCCGCTGCATTCCTTTTTCGATAGTTCCGAACTAGTCCTAAATTCTATAGTTCCGAACCAGTTCTAAAATCGACAGACGAAAGAAAAAAGTATCATGATTTTTCAATCTTTTTGGTTCTTCCGTGTGTGCGATTTTAAGTTATTTTGGAAGAAATATGTTTTCAATTTGAAATTAACTTTGTTTGAATGATTGTAAGAAATGTACGTTAACATACCTTTAGCTGTAGCTGAGTTTGCAGAGGTGCTCGCTGTTATTTCTTAGATTCCAGACTGTCCCTAGATGTTGAAATGTTAACACAAATTTTAGTTTTGTATTACCAAGCTATGAAAAAGCATCTGTGAAGCACAGAATAGAAGCGTATTTGAACGAAAAAGCCGCTGAACACATATCTATGTAAAGTAAACAAGCCCCCCGCTGCATCCCTTATTCGATAGTTCCGAACTGGTTCTAAATTCGACAAATAAGATCTAGTTCGTTTTGCATCCCTTTTTCTATAGTTCCGAACCATTTCTAAATTCTTCACTTTAGATATAGATTTCTAGTCAAAAAAACTGAAAAAATTAGTCTTTTAAAAGTACCACTTTTTCGCCGATTTTCGACTGGTGGGGATCTAGTTCCTATCGAACTAGTTCCTTTTTGGCGATAAAGACCTAGTACGGAACTAGAAATTTGATTCACTAGTCCGCGGTTTCCCTACAGGGAAAGGAACACATACGTTTATAAATAAACATGTACACAACACATTTACAAAAACGGCACTCAAGTACACAATACATTGACAAAAACAGTACTAGACTGTCTCGCTTTGATTTCGGAATGCTTACACATTGAGATGTTAGCATACTACCCATGAACGAAAGACACAAGATCACGCGGGAAGGAAAGAACGAAAAAAGTTATTTTCTAGCTGCCGAAATCTCGACGCCATCTTTGTTGTAAGAAGTAAACAACGAAGAGAACGGAGAAAACCGCGAAATTGTTGAACGCATGAAAAATCATTTTTATTATGCAAATTCTTCTATAAATCATGCCGTTGTGTTAAATTATTCTTTATCTTATGTGTACACACGTTGTCACAAGCGAAAATGAAGAAAATTGCAGTAAAAAGCCACCACCAAATTTAAACAATGTAGAAATGTAAACAAACGGCTAATGTCAAAATCGTTCAACTTTTTTCCTAAATGCGATTCTAACGGGCAAGTCTCCTGCCCGCGTGATCTTGTCTTTTTGGTTCATGCATACTACCAGTATAGAAGTATTACATATATGTGTGAGGCCGAACAGAAAGTTCTATGATAAGTGTTGCCAGAATAAAAGCTACAAAATGATCATGTTATGAGCAGCCTACTGTAAGCGTACATATCGTCGTTTAAAGAACAAAACCGCGTATCGTCATTCTGCAAAACCGCGTAACTGACATTGGCTGCCAAAAATTGAATTTGCTCACATAAGCTCTTGGCTCAATCCTTATCCATTCGTCGTGTAATATACTAGCCAGAAATTTGATTGCTTTATAAAAAAGAGAACCATTTTGAAATATGAGTGTTTTTGCCCTCTAAAAAATAATTTATGCAATCTCACATAAGTGGTTTTGCATTTTGTTGATACGTGGTTTTGTACTGTAAATGACGATACGTGTGTACGTTTGTATGCGCGGAAATATGTCAGGACGTGGCATTTCGCAGGAATTTAAGAACTTGTCAAGATAAATATGGCAGAGGACGTAGGAAAGACGGAGACAACTTATATTTCATATTTATAAGTTTGTTTAGGCGGAGGATGTGAGAAAGACGGAAACAACTGATGTTTCTCATTTTCGCGTTTGTTTTTTTGCATGAATTTACGCGAAAAATATAATTATTTATTCTTGCCCGATGATAAAAAAAATATATAAAAATGCATAGATTTCATTTAGACTAATTAAATTTATATATAACAAGCATTAGTTTTGTTAATAATGCCGCCAAAATACACACTTTATCCAAAAAATGCCCAAATAAACTGATGCATTTTTATATAAACGTACACTCATTTTGTTTAAGATAATGATCACTTTTCTCCATATACACCAACAATCGGCACTTGTTGGAAAACATTTTGCACTCACAAACATATTTTATTATTGATATAGACACTTTCACTCACAAGCTCCTCAGTGTTTTACGCTTTCAGTGACTACTGTATATTTTACACGTTCATATTTAATTTCTTAATTAAAATACATTTTCCCCAACCACTTGTGCAAAATAATCACCGAAATTCACTTCTTTTCTTCTGTTTTGCTAGTGTTTTCCGCATTCGAGACGAAAGTCAAAAATCTGCCGCGGACAGAGTCAAAACGGAGACGAATTCCAGTTGCACACATTTCGTATAAGGTCAAAATCGGCGCGGCACTTTTTCAAAGTAATGATTTGTCTCATATTTTACATTCTTTGATTGTACCGAAAAAATAGTAGAATTGTACTCAAAATATCAACACTGATATACACGCCAAAACACAGCACTGACTGTAAAACAGCTGGCGCTTATGTTTGTTTTTGCATTCAGTTGCTGTTTCGCCTTTCGTCGTTGATGTTCGATTTTCTTGTTACGATTGTATAAAAAGAAGGTAAACAATCACTTTTGCAAAAAAGGTGTGATAATGAAAAAGACGGAGCTCATGTGTAATTGATGATTAAGTTTGTAAAAAAGAAATTGGCGAAATAGTTATGAGAGGATTGGCGTTATTTATAAATATTTAAGAATTATAGATTCCTGTGTGGTTTACAAAACAGAAGAAAGGAATCATTTAACCACATGATGAAACGATAAAATAATTTCAGGGAACTTACACGTTTGGGAGAAGAAAAAAGAAACTAATTTGGAATGCAAAGTGAAAATAGCAGAAATAGGTGCATAATTTAAAAAGGCAAAAGTAAGAATTACAACGCTTATACTAAACATAGCTGTAAGCTGATAACCTGGCGAGGTGTGGGACTGTGTAGAAACGCATCACGGATCATTTGGAAGTTGTATGTCGGAGCGCTTCTTGCTGCTGCCCAAATACAGAGGTTAGCTTTTGTTTTGTTGACGTAAACGTAAATTGAGGCCATCAACCGCTGCTTCTTTATTGTGTGGCGGCTCTTGAGGTACATTTAGAAAAGGCAAACGGCTAATGCGCAATGGACTACCTACAGGAATGGACTAAGAGTCTACAGGAGTTCCTCTGTAAGTTTGTACATTCTTTTTAATCTCAAAAAACGTAGCTTTTTACGGATTTATATGTATCTAGCTACCTATATCGACTTGGATTACTCACTATGGCTTTACCGATTACTTTGGCCGCTGATTGTAACATTCCTACTTCCACTAGTCTTCGTGGCACTCATTTACATTTCATTTGTGATGCTTTTCATTTACAAACTGCACAGGTAAGATGTTTTTTTAGCTGCAATCGGCATAAAACTCTTATTTTACTAAGGCAAATTCGCTATTTGCTGTGCCTCTTAAAACGCCTAGTTAAGCATTTCTAGTTAAGTTTGTTTTGCTATAAGTTCACAAATACTCGAACAAGTTAAAATACATATGTATGTATGTATAATTTTACTTGTACAATTGTATAGATAAGTATTTTAGTACCTGCATTAAAAATCATTTGGCTGAGAGAAGTAAATGCATGAAATTAGCATAACCAACAAACGTTAATTATAGATCGTAGAAACTTATCGTATCTGTGCAAAATATACGTATCTGGTTATGGTATAAAGGACGAGGCCTCAAACCCTCTCTGGACTATGTATAGTATTGTTACATTAAGTAAAACTTTTGGCAAATGAAATTAAACTCTGTGCAAATGGTTTTAAGCTTTCAGTAAGTTGATTTAAACTTGGGGCAATGTATTTCATTATGGTGATGTATGTTCTCAATGCTCTAGAGGAAAAATCCGAACTGAAAGCAAATAAAACAGGAAATTGTTAACCAGCGGGCTTTAGTAAATATTTGTAAAAAAAAGATCCATTTGCGTATTTAGATTTAAGATGAATTGGTAAATTACAAGCCACTTTTCACTTCTTTCCAAATAAATACCAAAATTTGAAAGTGTTTATTTCGTCTTAGGGCGAAAAGCAAAGTTTTTAAATTATAAAAAAGAACATTCCTTCGAAAAAACGATATCAAAGTTCTTTCGTATCTCTATACCCATGCTATACACATATATGTATGTATGTGCATTCATACCTACCCAGTCGACAAATTTGGAAAAAAGGGGCCTTTTGCCACATTCTTTACTCCTTTTCATTTTGTATGGAATGGCCAGAATTTCCAGTCCTTCTGCTTTTCACAGAAGGGAAAATTTGCATGATGAAACAGTTTGTATTTGACTTTGCAGTACACACATAGCGATACGTCCACTCCGATTTTTATTTTATTTTATTTATTTTTTTTATTTGACTTTGGTTGCCATGGAAACGCGCCTTCACGTCTGTCTTCGAAAGGAACGGGGTTATTAAAAGACAATTATTTGACTTTGCCTTCGAATGGCAGCGCTTCCAATAGACCTAATTAAATTTCCAAAAGAAATAGTATTGAATAATCCCTTTCTGAAGGCGTTTATTTAAGAGCACTCCTCCTTTAGCCTACTGGGTAGTACTGTTTTGGGTACTTTGTATATAATTTTTTATTTACTAAGTGTAACACGCATGATTAGCTACATACAAATGATTGTGTGTACATATGTACGTGCATAGGTTTAGGTGCTGCTCTAAACAAAACATTTCCTCATACATATGTACATACTAGTTGTTTGAAAGCAATGACGTGTTTTATTACTGCGTTTACATTTTTTTATCGCATAATTTTAGTGACAAATAAATTGCTAGTTTTTAGAGAATGCTGTATTTATTTTTTTTATTAGATGCTTGAAAATGTAATTAGTTTTTTTAATTGGCACTTACATATGTATGTAGGTATAGTATGTATGCATGTATGGTATATTCGTTTTATTTTTTCCTACTTATAAAAGTACGCTGGAATGTACAAATACTCGAATCACCTGGAATCACCTCTTCCTATATGACGTGCAAACCTTCAATCCCTAAATAAAAAATGTCTGCGAGCGAAAAGTTGCTACGGCAGTGGAAAAAACTTCTTTTAGCCATTTTCTTCAAGTTGTTCGCAAAACTTTGAATACAAAATTTTGCGTATTTACAGCAAAGCAAAACTCTAACGGACAATAAGGATTCGCCCTTTATTAAAATATTTCGTATTATTTTAGCCTTATCAGATTTTCTTTTGAACTTAGCAAACTTGCTTTTCATTGAATGCACCCGAGAAAAAATTAAATAAAAATTAAAATCAAAATATGAGTTTTCATAAGAAGCGGACTTAGCAACTTTTCACTCTAAGCTAGCGATATGTGTAATGATATTAATTTTTATTATACACTTCTAATGTAAATTAAATATAAATACATACTACATATGTATGTATGTACACACTCATATTCGATGTTCTGCTTGACCTGCCTGAATATGCGAAAGCTTGCGCTATAATTACTTTGAATTCTAATCTCCAGTCAAGGTTAATCTTGTATGCTCGTAATCCACTTGACTAGATGTAAATATGTACATACATATCGCTAGCTTAGAGTGAAAGGTTGCTAAGTTCATTTGTACAAATTTTACACGAGAGGAAAGAAACTTCTTATAGCCATTTTCAAGTATTTTGCAAAACTTTGAATAGAACATTTTGAGTGTTTAAAGCATTGCTAAACTCCATACGAACGAGACGGATTCGATGTTGATTAAAATATTTCGAATTGATTTGGTCTTTCTGTGTCACTTTTGGACTAAGCAAATTTGCCTTTCATTGAATATAAGCGTGATTAAATAAAACAAGTACCTTTATTCTTTTGGAGACGATGCATTTTTAATTTCACTCGCATATGAGTTTTCAAAAGAAGTGGACTTAGCAACTTCTCACTCTAAGATACCGTAAGATATGTATGTATATCCAAATACACATTCATACGCGCACGTGCTATCAAAGCTAATTACATATAGAAAAATTAATAGATCTTTAATTGCGTTTAATCAAATAGTTGCCGACAACGTTCAATAAAAAAAATCAAAACAATCATATTTGCATTACTTTGCAATATTTGTAGTTGTTGTAGCAGAAATATTTCAGGGGTAATGTTTGAGAGTAAGCTGATATGATGTTTTTGTTTACCGAGCCGACTTGACTGGATCTTGTGACATAGTAGAATCGTCATAAGATCGCTATTACAGGGTGGCGACGAATAACTTTTACCCAGTTTTTTTTTTTTGAAAAATAAAAGGGTCCTATATAAATTTTGCGAAAAAAGTACTTTGTACTCATCTCCCAAAGTTTAGAAAGCTGGCAATTTCAAAAAGGATTGAAATTCTAAAACTAATTAATAAAATTAAAGTAAAATCTGTGGAAGATTAACCATAAAATGCTTTCTTCGGAAAAGCTATAAAGAACCATTCTATTTAAAAAAGAAAACTGTGCTACAGTTATTCGTCGCCACGCTGTACTAAGGCAGTCCTAGTCCGTATCGTTTCGGTGCAGCTTTTCTATTTTATTTAATATTTAAAATTGCTTTATGGCTCATTCCATGTAAAAGACGAAAACGACATAAATTTTAAAATGCCCTAATTATATTTTTTTCATTAATACCATTTTTTTTAATAACTACATTTCATTAATATGTTGAAAAACATTGAAAAGAATAAAAAGAAGTTTTGTCTATGGAATCTTTTATTTCATGCATAATTACTTTACATTAGTCATAAGGACAGGCCCCTCCAGTCACAAATTTATATAATTTTTAATATTTCTATGAAGATTATCTAAGCCTAATTTTTACTGAAAAAGAAAGCGTATAGTACATGTTTTACAACATAAAAATAAAGTTTTTTCTAGTGGCCCACCAGTCACATTCATTCAAATGATAGTTACATAAAACTAAGAAACCGTTTGGTATTGTTGTTAAAGCAAGTCACGATGAAATGGCCCTTATCCAAATCTTATTGCTAGGTCTTATTTACTGCGGTCAAACACATTAGTAGATTACTGATATGTACATACAAATAAGCAATGTAAACAAATTTGCTTAAAATAAGCTATATTTTTACGTTGTTGCATTTTGGATTCATATTATTCACAATTTAACATACATACTTACATACATACACTGGCGGCAAAAATAATAGACTCGCCTTACTTTGAAAAGTTTTGGCTATATTTCCATGGTTTATTTTATGTTTAATATTTTTTTTTTATAAAAGCCATATAAATCCCATTTACAAACTTTATACAAAAATTATAAAAATTCGCCAAATTTGTCACCAAATGTTTAAACTTTTTATTCAGATTATTATAATTGTTATTCAAAATTTTTGGTATGCAGTTTTGTAGCCCATTCAATTTTAGTATAATAAAGTGCAAGTTTCAAGTAGCTAGAAAATACCGCTCATTTTTGACAATTTTTTTTTTTTGTTGACGATGCCTGGCATTCTCTTTCATATAAAAAAATTGTCGTGCACTCTTTGTATGGGAAAAAAATGCGTGGCACCATCAGCAAAAAAAAAAAATCTTACAAATCAGCGGTATTTTGTAGCATACCACATGTACAAAACTGCATACCAAATATTTTGAATAAAAAGTTTGAAAATTTTTTGATAATTTGTCGAAGTTTTATAATTTTTGTTTAAAGTTTAAAAGGCGGATTTATATGATGTTTGTTGTATAACCACCTAGGCTTTTTAAAAAAATATTAAATATAAAATAAACTAAAGAAATATAGCCAAGTAGCTCGCTTCTGTAACTATTCTTTACTAAGGCGATTTCATATATGAATTATCTGCCTTGTTCTTCTCTACTGCTCATGACTAGTAGAAAATGACGTATCTTCCCAGTAGAGAATTAATCGGTAGAGAATAGTTACAGAAACGAGCTACTGATTCTTAAAAGTACGACGAGTCTATTATTTCTGCCGCCAGTGTACATATAAGGTACATATCGTCGTTTAAAGTACAAAACCAGGTATCGTCGTTCTGCAAAACCGCGTAACTTTATAGAAAAAAGCAAGACCGTAAAGGGGGTGGGGGGGAGGCTGCATTACTGAACCCTTCGAAGTATCAATTTTTACGGACAGCTCTAAAAGTGGATTGTGGCGTAGGGGCGCGAATATTTTCAACCGACCTAAAAATTGAAGAGTCTATGCGATTACCAAATTCTTTGCGATACCAGAAGTCTTTGCCATAAAAGAGATGTGCAAAATAATTTTAGCCTCGAAGCTAGCGAGAACCAGCATTGCTATTTGCTCGGATAGACAGGCAGCGGTCAAGATACTCGACTCTGTAAGCATCACCTCCCACATAATAAATCAGTGTAGGCGAACGTTATGGTTTTAGCTGACAGGCAAGTCGTTGCTCTGATCTGGGTGCTGGGGCACCGCACAATTCATGGCAACAAGATGGATGACGATCTGGCCAGGAATGGGTCGGCTCTGGATATCTTGGAGGCAGAGGAGATTCTTGTGCCTCTGAGCTATATTAAGGACCGCATCTCCCAGCACTGGAAAAAGGTGTTTAATAGTAGATGGAAAGACCTACAATCCTGTAGGGTCTGCAGGAGTCTGTGGCCCACCTACTTCGCAAAACGCACTGCTTTTCTTATCAAATTAAACAAAATTTCTTATTAAATTAAACAATTAAACTCAACCAACCAAGGTTAAACGTCGACTTGATAAGAAGGTGGCCGACTGTCGTCAGTAATCTTCAGAGATTAAACCTCGAAACCAAGAAGAATAAAACAAGGGGTTCCACAAGGTGGTGTCCTCTCCCCCTCCTGTTCAACTTCTACATCTCGAAGGTCCCCCAGCCACCTGAGGGAGTTTCCCTGATCTCATACGCTGACGACTGTTCGATATTGGCGTCTGGGAATGAAATTGACGACCTCTGCTCAAAAGTAAACGGCTATCTCTGCAGCCGTCGCTTCTTTCTCGCTTCTTCACTGCGATGAGCCTAACACTATCCCCAACGAAATCAACGGCGACCCTCTTTACCACCTGGACGAAGGAGGTCAGGCTTGAATTAGGCATTCACGTCGATGACATACCAATACCGAAAGTAAAAAACCCTAAAATCTTAGGGGTCACAACCGCAGTTGTCAACAAAGTACAGAACCGCAACGAGGTCGTCAAGTTGCTCGCCGGCAGCACCTGGTGCAAAGACAAAGAAGCGTTGCCGGCAACATACAAGGCAATTGGCCGTCCGGTTCTAAATGATGCCGCACCAGTTTGGTCGCCGGGGACTAGTTGGGCGCAGTGAACGAATCTACAGAATTGTCAGAACGCCGCACTCCGGACAGCGGCTAGGTGCCTTCTGATGTCGCCTAAAAACCACCTACACAGCTAGGCCCAAGTGCTCCCCGTAATGGAGCACAACAAAATGCTTTGTAAGCAGTGCCACAGAAGTGAACACCCCAACAGGCCACTGCTAGAGGAGGGAGCCTCCGCCCAGGCACGTCAGGGGGGCACCTATTCGTGTACAAGGACACAGTCCAAAAATACGTAGACCAACCACTAGACCCGACGACGTACAGCCGAGCGATCAACGACATTCATAGGAAGTCGGTCACCACCTACCTCGACTCCCGGCCTATGGGCCTATGAATGCCGTAATCGGAGCCCAAGAGAGACCCGCGTTACCTTGGCTCAGTTACTTTCAGTCCGTTTCCTGGGCCTACCGTTAGTTAAGCTTGACGACAATGATTGAAGGTTGAACTGAAATAAGCGGGGCTTAGTAGTGCCGCTACAACAACAACAACGCTTCCTGGGACTAAGGTTGGAGGATTTAGAGGGGAAAGATAAAAAGGACAGCCAACCGATTTCGCTGCAACAACAACCACTTGGGCGGTGGGAACCAAGCAGCAATCGTACGCCAATAACTAATTACCGAAAATTTAAGCGGTTAGTAAGTTTAAGCGGTCGTCAAAAATTGCAGTTGTTCAGTAAAGTACTGAATCGCAACAAAGTCCTCAAATCGCTTGCCTCCATCACTTAAGCTAAAGGCAAAGACACGTTTGTTGGAAACATATTACCCAACAACGCTAAACTGCAAATGTAGAAAGCATCTACCCAGCATGCGGACAAGGTCCAAACAACACTCAACATCTCATCGCATGCACCTCCATCCAGACCCTGACACCAGAAGCACTATGAACGTAGCTGGCTTCCTCGGTTCAGGCTTTTAGAGTGAGACAAAAACAGCTAGCTTATCCTTTACAATTTAGACGTCAACATCGCAGCATATTACGAAAGGTTTTTTATAGCCCATTTCCACCAAAAGCGTAACTTCAGTTAAAAGTTCAGTTCCAAGAGTTTAACCATTAAAGATTGAAAATAATAATTAACTTTTGAGTTTTAGTTTTTCGCTCAAAGGAAATTATTATTACTTGATTTTTATTTTTTCGATCAAAAATAATGATTATTTTATGATTTTTATTTTTTCGCTCAAAGATAATAATTATTATTAAGTTTTATTTTTTTCACTTAAGTATAATGATCATTTAAAAAAGTCAAAAGCTGTACCAGCGTGATTTTCGAGGTATCCTTTGCAGAGGTAGCGACACCCTAATAAAAGGAATAAGTCCCAAAATTTTCAGGTAAAATTTTCAGAGGTATTTAAGACGTATTTATGCCCTTTTAAATTGTATAATTAATTATTATTTTTAAGTGGGAAATAAAACTCAATAATAATTTTTATCTTTGAGCGAAAAAGTAAAAATCATAAAATAATCATTATTTTTGATCGAAAAAACTAAAAATCAAATAATTATTATTTCCGCTGAGCGAAAAATAAAACTCAATTATAATTTATTATTTTTAAGCGAGACAAAACAAAAATCATAAAATAATGATTAAATGCTGATTTATATTATTTTACCCATAATTATTACCGTCCCTGAAATATATCAACACATATTTACTATCTATACAATCTTCCCCACGTTCAATCGAAATGATTAATTTCTTACTTATCAGTAACGGCGTTTGAAATTGTCTAATACCACACATATTTAGATTACCGATGTGTTTTCGACGGCATTTAACAAATAGATGAATCAATAGGGGTCTTCATGAATGCTTGCAACTTTCTATAAATACATACTTATTCCAATTTTTGCGTTCTTTTCTTACTTTTTGCTAATGGATTATCTTGTTATATAATTACTAGGTTTTCCTGCAGCTCCGCCCGCATTTAGTTCTATTTAACGTTATGATTTCAAATGTAACAAAAAATTAAATAAATTTTATCACCGAAAGTGATACATTTTATATAAAAAAATCGCTTATTGCCCCAGAGGTTCCCGAGCATGGTCTATGTGTCGAATTTCAACTAAATTGGCCGTTTCATATTTAGTATTAAAACGATAAAAAAGTAGCTAGTTTTTATACTATATAATTTTTTTTTTTTTTTTTAATATTTTTATAGGTAGCAATTTAAAAAAACGTGTTTGAATAAAAGCATATACCAACAAGAGGTTTACGCCGATAGATATTTCGTCGCCAATCTTAGAAATAAATAGCGCCGGCGTAGGAAACTAATTCTTGTTAAATTGTGATGCAACTTTATGAAAAATATTATTAAAAAGGCGCCTAATACATATTTGAAATCGGTGCATATGTATGTTTACTGAAGTGCTTTAATATAAAAAAAATAATCGATTAACCAATCGCTACGATAATCGCTTTACTTTTCCTCCCAAATAACTCCGAAACACTTCACTGCTACCAAATATAAGGGTCATTTCATACAATATTTACACCACCCTCAAAATTGTTTTGGTGTGAAATATTTTTTTACATCCTTTATCGAAAAGAGGAGACCACTATTTTATTTCGTCTGGTATTGGAAAAAAAAATCTTCGAAATTTCGAATTCACTAAGAATTAAGGTATCCATACACCTATGCGATTCTGTCGCAACGAATCCGCAACGTTTTTGATGCTACAGACGTTACTGCTTCGAAAACGCAAGTACGCACACATCTGTGCATTCGGTGCTTCGGAAAACTCCTTTTTCGGATCTCTGTTCTTGCTGTAGCGACTGCCTAGACCGTAGAGTCCTTCAATCGTTGTTGACAAGCTAAACTAACGGTGAACCTAGGAGACGTGATATTTCGACGGGGTCGGAGCAGTGGGAGAGGGCTGTTAGATTTGAAATGAGTGGTCATGTTGGCGTCTAATCGGGATGGGTAGCTTTTTAGCTATAGTATTCAAACCATAATTGAGGCGCAGAGTGACGCGGATTTTTCGGGGCAATTGAAGGTCACCCTCGTCCACAGGCAATGTTTACACATCGTACTGCCGTCGAGCGATTTAAGGACTTTGTTGGCAATGGCAGTTGTGTGCGACGGGAAAGAAAGCAGCTTGTCGAAGGTTAGTCCGAAAGATCTCGAATGTTTCGCCGTCGACGTGAATTCCAAGATGTAGCCTCATCTCTTTCATCCAGGTGATAAAAATGGTTTCTAGTGAAGAAGCGGGAAAGTTCGTGTTTACTTTTGAACACATGTAATCTATTTCATTGCCGGCCGAGATGATAGATACTCCCTCTGGCTCTAGTCCTTAACGGTGTGCAAAGCATACCTCGAGCATCGGCTTTGTCGAGGGCTATAGAAAGCGCCACTATTATATCTATTTAGTCCAATAGTTATTAATTTAATATTTATTTTCTATCCAATAAAATATTTAATTTCGGCTCTCTCTCTCTCTCTTTTCAGGGAGGTAATCATGCGCACTGTTCGCACGGATCGTAAATTCTGGGAGTTCGGTCGAAAATTGGTCGCCGCTTTGTGGGATGCTCACGCGCGCATTTATCATGGCTACGAAGTAATCGGCATGGAGAATATACCAGAGACTGGACCTGCGTTGATTGTGTACTACCATGGCGCTATACCCATCGACATGTATTACTTAAATTCACGCATTATACTGCAAAAGGATCGTCTTATATACACCATTGGCGATCGATTTCTATTCAAATTACCCGGTTGGGGTACAATATCCGAGGCATTTCACGTCAGTCCCGGCACGGTGCAGTCTTGTGTTGGCATTCTAAAAGAGGGTAATTTACTAGCCATCTCACCAGGTGGCGTTTATGAAGCACAATTCGGCGATCAATACTATGAACTGTTGTGGCGTAATCGTGTTGGCTTTGCAAAGGTTGCGCTGGAGGCCAAGGTGCCAATAATACCTTGCTTTACACAAAATCTACGCGAAGGTTTCCGACAGCTGGGCATATTTCGCAACTTTTTCATGAAACTCTACAATACAGTGCGCATACCAGTTTACCCTATCTACGGTGGATTTCCGGTGAAGTTTCGCACATTCGTGGGTCGACCGATAGCGTACGATGGCACGCTAACGCCAGAGGAGCTGCAAATGAAGGTTGAAATTTGACATACATACGTACGTAAATATTTACCTTAAACATTTTTGAGTGGATTTCTGTTTTTATCTTTCAGGTGGCCGCGGCGTTGGAGGAATTGATAAATCAGCATCAACGTATTCCTGGCAGCATATTTCATGCGTTGCTTGATCGTATTCCCTCACTTCGTAGCAAAAGAAAAGTCCCGGAATAAGTCGCTAAAGCCGCATCTGTTCAGCGTATTTAAATTTGATAATCTCTACATACTCTACTGTGTTAAATTTTCGTTTTTCATTTCTTTTAAGGGGAGGGAAACGCAAAAGACTTTCTGCTAACTATACAAATAGTTTATTGTGCACCTATCGGGAGAGTTTTGCTTACAAAAAAGAATACATAGTAAAAAATACTCTTAAAACCCTAAAACTAAAGACAAAGAACAAAACTTACGATAGTTGATAGTTCTATTGTAGATTATACTCGTATAGTACTATGTATAAATGAGTTCATTCAATTTATCAATAATCCATCTTGCAATATGCAACTGTAACTGGAGCTTTTTTAACGTTTACATAAAATAGCCTTAAGTGTACTTAAAATGCTTTCAGCTAAGCTCATATCATGCAATGTGAACAATTTCTCTTATCTAAAAACATTTTTTTTTTATTAGAACAGATATGACCATCGGGGTTCGTTTTATATTTTGCATTTATGTATATTTTTATGATAGAATTAATTATACAATGCATCTGCGCATTCTGGTTGTAATGGGAAATTGATTATTCCAGCAATAAAAAATGTGTGTGTATATAAATAAAACCCGTAGTTAAGTCGTAGGTTAAATTTTTAATTTTGTTTAAAAACAATGAAATTGTTTGCGAAATAGTATTCCAGCTTTCATTTAACCGCTCAGTGTACACATACTTGTTTTTTAAATAAATTTCACTACGTATTAATTTATCGGTATTCACATACTCATTTGAGTACGTAAATGTGTCTTGTGCTGCATAAAAAGTGTACTTTTTATTATATAATTAGATGGCATGTGAAAATTAAAATTAAAAAAGATCATATCAATTTATTCAAAACGTATTGACGTATTATTTCGTGAAAGAAGCGCAAACAGCTACTAATGATAAGATAAATAGGTCAGTTCTTGTTGGGGAAGGTATATGATTAAAATCTCCGTAAACCTTGGAAGAGTTTAAGTAGGACAAATGGTAATAAAGATGCCTCGATTACTGCAGCGAACTAAAAAATATTTACGAAAATCTGATAAGAATCATGCATGTTGTTATACAACAACTAAATGTCTAGGGTCGCGGTTGACGGACTTCTGGAATGCCTGCTTTTGGGAACAGGACCAAGGACCCACTAATTTATCTTAGTCGTGGTATTATGAGTAGACTGCGGATTTTTATGCAGAAAACGAAGCCTAAAAATATGTACCATATAACTATAAACAAAATGTATAAAAATCTCCGCCTCGAAATCCATCGCCACACTGTTCACCACCTGGACTAAGAGGTCAGGCTGAAACTGTACGTTTACGTCGATATCAACAAAATACCGGCGGTCAACCGTCCCAAATTCTTGACAGTCACGTTCCTTCTCAGCGCACGCACCTGCCACCTGACAAAAAGTGCGAGCTGGGAGCAAAGCCTTCCAGTCACTAGCCGGTAGCCCTTGGGGAGCCGACAAAGAAATCCTCTTCACCACGTACAAAGCAATCGGCCGGTCGGTGGCAAACTACACAGCGCCAGTGTGGTCGGCATGCATCAGCGACACACAGTAGAGAAATTTACAAACCTGCCAGAATGCAGCTCTACGCACGGTTACAGGTTGCCACCTCATGTCACCCAAGCATCACCTCCACCAAGAAAGCCAGATGCTGGCGGTGGAAGAGCATAACACCTTGCCATCGAAGCAGTTTCTCGGGGAATGCAAACGTGGAAATCATCCCAACAACACCCTGTTTCGAAAGGATCCACCCCCGAAATGTCAGACAGCACCTGCGCGGCTGGAAACCCTACGTTGAGCCGTGCATAGACCACCCATTCGACGTAGAAAAATACAGAGCGACACCTAACCACCTACAAACCGATGCAGTCAGGACGAATCTCAGCACCCGAAAGGACAACGTCATCCCACGACAGTCGGGTCTACGTAACCGGAACGACCCAGATTTATATGTGGCCAAGGACTGTCACTCCAGCAACACTCCCCAAAAACCCTTTGGCGAACTTGTATGCTGCTACAACAACAACATCATCCTAGGCGCTCGACCGCCGCCCATTAACATCGATTAAGCGGAACTGCCGAGAGAGGACAGGTGCATCCTAGCACAACTTCATTCTGGGTGCTGCCACAGACTAAACAGCTATCTCTCCCGACCAAGGGATGTGATTTCGGCGATCTAACCCCGTTTAGGTTGGCGAAATCCCTTAAAAGTTGTACTTCCGTAGGGCTACATCTGCTTCGCATACTTCTGTTCAGGGCTGGCATCAAGTCAAACCCTGAGACAGGAACCTATACCTGCGTCACGTGGAAGAGACGACTACACCATAACTCCACCTCTGTCAGGTGCAACTCCTACAACGGGTGGGGTCACCTCCGAGTTTGCTCAGGCCTTTCGACTCACAGGCAAATGGACCACTTCATACGTGGCCCCTTACTGATCGAACCGACCTGCCTCCACGGCACATCAGAGTCCGCCTAATCAGCACAAACACTGTCGCACCACAACGCAATAGACCACAGCACCGATACCACAGACCACACCACAGACCCAACCGCACGACCACCCACACACCGCCGCCAACAACTCTTGCTTCCTCTGACAAGCTGCTCGATGTGTCAGACCAGGAGAGACACCCCACGACTCGAAACATCTCTTCGTATGCCCGGAAAACACGACAGCACTGACTTATTTGTCCCTGTGGACCGACCACACTGAGGCTGCACGCTTCCTGGGGTTCCGTTAGTGGAGCTTGACGACAACGACTGAGATACTAACCGACCTGGGCGGGGTTGTTGAAGCCGCTACAACAACCACAACAACAACGCTTTTATACTCCACAATACGATCCAATCTCGGATGATAACCCTTCGAATTATTACCACCCAAAAAACTTGAATTCTAATTGCTAGGTTATTTTTCGTTTATTGTTCGTAACTTTCGTAATTTTTGGCCTTATTATTGCTAATATTACATTTACTCATTAAACTCTACACATTACATATCATGGAAATCGGCAGAAAATGCTTTTGGGGTGATAAGAGATCAACTTTGGTAAATTGGCATTTAATGCAGTTTCAGTTATGCTGTGCAGTTAAAAACTTATAGTAATAAATCATTATAAATCGCTTAATGAATTTAATATGTCTCTGCCATAATTAGTACAACCAGCGAGGTCCAGCCCGTGAAAGGATAGCAGCCTTTTCCGTGTCCTGTGGTGTCATCGTACTGTTCCCACAGATAACCGGTTCTCTTGTATTCACGGAATATATTTCCAACAACATTCTCGCGCAGTTCAGCGTAGATTTCCCGTGCCAGCGCGGCATATGGTCCCTCAATGGTACCGTAGTGGTGTAACGCTCTTATTGCTAAATAGTTTATGTTTATCCAAATTGGACCACGCCAATATGGTGGATCATGCTCAGTGTTGCGTTTCATGTACAACGGCGAGTTCTTGGATAACGAACGAATCCCGTAATTTGTCCATAGTACATTTGGATCACGGAGATTGCTGAGCAACCTACCTAAGTACTCTGAATCGTGATCGAGTATATGTAATAGAAATGGGAATAAATTCACGTAGCCATATGTCGAGTCGACAAATTGCCGCTCGGGTTGCTTTAGAGTTACACGCACCATTTCCAATTGTGGTTGCTGATTTCTCATAAAGTTTTGTTTTGTCACCTTTGGACGTTTAAGTACTACCGCATCTGTGTGCAGCCCCCAGTCTGTATAGGTCTCAATGAATGGACTCAAATGTTGCTCATTTAGCAATTTGTTATCTGCCAGAAATGATGCTGTTTCATAGTATTTAATGCTATCTTTTCCAAGTATGTCAGATAAATCACTCATCACCCTTGCTGCTAGTGCAATCCAGCAACGCAAATCGACATGTCGTTCATAGCTGGTGGGATGCGAAGCACGTGGGAAGTCATCCAATCCGGATGTTAAGGTTTTGGGGTTCAATTCAAGCTCGCTAGAAGCATTTCGTCCGCGCCAATAGTATGTGCCCAATATTTCACCACGTTGTGTAGTATTGTACCATGAAAACCATGCTTGTAAACGAGGGTACAGACGCTCCAATATGTCGAGTCGCCCCTTCACCGAAAGCTCTTTCTTATGATGCGTAAGTATTTTGTCAAGTGTGAGGAAAAACGTGGGCGGATTGGCGTTGCTATTGTGTTGAACTACAAACTCATCTGGTACTTTCGCTAGTGCTTCTACACCTAAAATCTGTTCTCGCGGTATCCATCCTTCAATGTTGAGTAGGTCAAACCAGTGACACATAATATCCAATGCAATATCCAAATCCCAAGATGCTATTATTAAGGATTGAAAGCCTTCATCCCACAAAAAACCGCGTGGAAAGAAGGAGCGTGACGGTACAGCGGTGTACAATGGAGCTTTCCAATAAGGTACTGGTTTTTTAGTGTATACTGATTTTACTTTACTTGAACCATAGAAGTAGCCGATACCGCCAATTAGATTGCTCACTGCATATTTTGCGAATTTTATTTCGTCAGCTGAATATCCCTTGGCCTGCAAATGGAATGTGCCCTCAAATTGCCTATCGAACTCAGCCAATTTATTTTGCAAAGAATTGGTAAACTCTTTAGCTGTAGGCGGTTTGGATATACTCTCACCGTGTGAATAACCAGATGTGGACTGGTAAGTGATATCCATTGTAAAATTCACTTCAGTGGTGATTTGTATGGCAATGAAATTGGGCTCGTCCGGAAGCGCGCCATTTTGCGAGATCATTTCTCCTGGCAATCCAATAAACCTCCTGCCCTGGCTGTCAGAAAATACGCGGAAGTGTGCGAAGACAGTTTCCTTCAGTTTGCTAAGCGATGGAGCTACTGTGCTCAAATAGGATTTATGTAGAACTCTACCTTTAATTGGATGGAAACGCACCTGTATAAATGGTAAAACATGTTAGCTTTTCGCAATGAAAATGAAATAGTAAAATAACATACCTTGAACTCTCCCAGTCCAAGTGTCTCGCCATAGACACCTGCCTCAGGACTGTTGTCGTTGGAAACGTACCTAATTTGCCCATTGGTGCGTTCATCTAACGCTACATACCAAATCAATGAAAATGTGCGATCGAATGTTTTCGAAA